CCACTCTCTTTAGGGGGGGCACAGGGAAGTGGAGGGGCCCCCGGGGGCACAGGAGAGTTGTGGGGGGGGACACCTCGTTAGTGGGGAAATTCATTAGTGGGAACTTCGTTAACGGGGAAACTCGTTAACGAGAACTTCGTTAACGGGGAGGGGGGGCCCTGTGAGCGAGGCCTCCACCCTGCCCCAAAAACCTGCTCTCGGGGAGGGGGGGTGTCACAGGGGGGGGTTAGAGCCTTCCCCTCCTGCCCCCAGCCCTCATTTTGGGGACAATTTGGGCTTTTTTGGGGCATAATCCCCACTTTTAGGGTGTCTCTGACCCCCCCCAGGGCAGCACCGGCCTTTGGGGTGGGGGGAACCCCCCCTGTTGGGCCACATTCCGGGGGGGGGACACACTGCTGTTGGTGTCACCTTTCTGTCACTCCCTCTGCAGCCCCAATTAGTGCTTAATTAAGCTCCCCAACGCTTAATTAAGATTCCCTTTTGCTTAATTAAGGCCCTGACGAGTCAGGGCCCGGCGGGCAGCGCTCGGGGCTGTGCTCTTGGGGAGCGGCCGTGACACACGCTGGAAACTGGTGGGACCTGTTTTGGGGCCGTTTCCCCTCGTTTCCTCAACGTTTGGGGCTGCCCCGGCGCCCCGTAAATTGTCATTTATTTGTTTTTGTTAATTACCACGAGGCCGTTTTGGGGTTAAATCCAACTATTTTGGGCCCACTCGGGTTACAGCTGTCACACGGCTGCCAAAGGCGGTGGTGAGAGCTTCCCCGCCCCCTAAATTCCCTCTTTTCACCCCAAAACAGGGACATGCTCAGGTCACCGAAATCACCCCAATCGTCCCCGACCCTGCGTAACCCAGACAGGACCATATTTTGGGGGAGTTTTGGGTTTTTTTAGCATTTTCCCCCAAAATTAAGATCTCCGCGGGATCAGTATGGGTGGGGATAATCATAAAACCCAAATGTGGGGCTTTTTGGGGCAAAATCCTTTATTTTCTCTCACGCCTCTCTCACCTAAAGCAGACCCCAAACCCCTCAAAACCCCCCAGATCTCCCAAAATCCTCTAACCCCCCCCAAAATCCCCACTGTTGCCCAATTTCCCCCGTTTTCTCCTCAAAATGCCCAACTGCCCCCATTTTTTTCTCATATTGCCCCATTTCCCCCGTTTTCTTTTCACTAATTGCCCGATTTGCCCCGGTTTTGCCCCATTTCCCCTGTTTTCTCCTCGAATTGCCCCGATTCCCCTCGTTTTCTATCTCTAATTGCCCCATTTCCCCCATTTTTGCCCAATTCCTGGTGTTTTCCCCCCAGATGGAGGCACTGGTGGTGCCGGTGTCTGTATCGGTGGTGTCAGCACAGGTTTCTTTTCTCTAATTACCCCATTTCCCCCGTTTTCTCTCTCCAGTTGCCTCATTTCCCCCTTTTTTGCCCCATTTCCCCCATTTTCTCCTGGAATTGCCTGATGTCCCCGATTTTTGCCCAATTCCCCGTGTTTTCCCCCCAGATGGAGGCGCCGGTGGGGCCGGTGTCTGTATCGGTGGTGTCAGCACAGGTTTCTTTTCTCTAATTACCCCATTTCCCCCGTTTTCTCTCTCCAGTTGCCTCATTTCCCCCTTTTTTGCCCCATTTCCCCCATTTTCTCCTGGAATTGCCTGATGTCCCCGATTTTTGCCCAATTCCCCGTGTTTTCCCCCCAGATGGAGGCGCCGGTGGTGCTGGTGTCTGTATCGGTGGTGTCAGCACTGGTTTCTTTTCTCTAATCACCCCATTTCCCCCCTTTTACTCTTCTCCAATGGCCCCATTTCCCCTATTTTTTGCCCCATTTCCCCCATTTTCACCCAATTTCCTCCATTTTCTCCTGGAATTGCCCCATTTCACCTATTTTTTTGCCCAATTCCCTGTGTTTTCCCCCCAGATGGAGGCGCCGGTGGTGCCGGTGTTCTGCTCGGGGGTGTCGGCGCAGGTTTCTCTCTCCAATTGCCCCATTTCCCCCTTTTTTTGTCCTATTTCCCCCATTTTCTCTCTCCAATTGCCCCATTTTCCCCATTTTCTCTCTCCAGTTGCCCCATTTCCTTGTGTTTTCCTTCTGGAATCGCCCGATCTCCCCAATTTTCACCCCATTCCCTGCATTTCCCCCCAGATGGAGGCGCCAGTGGTGCCGGTGTCTGTATCAGGGGGGTCAGCGCTGGTTTCTTTTCTCCAATTACCCCATTTCCCCCATTTTCTCTCTCCAGTTGCCTCATTTCCCCTTTTTTTGCCCCATTTCCTTGTGTTTTTCTCCCGGAATCGCCCAATTTCCCCAATTTTTGCCCAATTCCCTGTGTTTTCCCCCCAGATGGAGGCGCCGGTGGTGCCGGTATCTGTATCAGTGGTGTTGACACAGGTTTCTTTTCTCTAATTACCCCATTTCCCCCATTTTCTCTCTCCAATTGCCCCATTTCCCCCCTTTTACTCTCTCTAGTTGCCCCATTTCCTTGTGTCTTTCTCCCGGAATCACCCGATCTCCCCGATTTTCACCCCATTCCCTGTGTTTCCCCCCAGATGGAGGCGCTGGTGGTGCTGGTCTCTGTATCAGGGGGTTGACACACATTTCTCTCTCCAATTACCCCGTTTCCCCCCTTTTACTCTCTCCAATTGCCCCATTTCCCCTTTTTTTGCCCCATTTCCTTGTGTCTTTCTCCCAGAATCACCTGATCTCCCCAATTTTCACCCCATTCCCTGCGTTTCCCCCCAGATGGAGGCGCCGGTGGTGCCGGTGTTCTGCACGGGGGTGTCAGCACAGGTTTCTCTCTCCAGTTGCCCCATTTCCCCTTTTTTTGCCCCATTTCCCCCATTTTCTCCTGGAATCACCCAATCTCCCCGATTTTCACCCCATTCCCGGTGTTTTCCCCCCAGATGGAGGCGCCGGTGGTGCCGGTGTTCTGCACGGGGGTGTCAGCACAGGTTTCTCTCTCCAGTTGCCCCATTTCCCCCTTTTTTGCCCCATTTCCCCCATTTTCCCTCCCCAATTGCCCCATTTCCTTGTGTTTTTCTCCCAGAATCACCCGATCTCCCCGATTTTCACCCCATTCCCGGTGTTTCCCCCCAGATGGAGGCGCTGGTGGTGCCGGTGTCTGTACCAAGGGTTCAGTGCAGGTTTCTCTTCTCCAGTTGCCCCATTTCCCCCATTTTCTCTCTCCAGTTGCCTCATTTCCCCTTTTTTTGCCCCATTTCCCCCATTGTCTCCCGTAATCGCCCTATTTCCCTGATTTTCACCCCATTCCCGGTGTTTCCCCCCAGATGGAGGCGCCGGTGGTGCCGGTGTTCTGCACGGGGGTGTCGGCGCAGGTGCAGCGGCAGCGGGCCAAGGCGCAGGGGCTGGGGCAGCACGCGCAGGCGCTGCGGTACCTGGGGCAGGATTTCGGGCGGCTGCAGGAGGAATGCCGACGCTCCGGAGCCCTCTTCCGCGATCCCGCCTTCCCGCCGGCTCCCGCCTCCCTCGGCTTCCGCGAGCTGGGGCCCGGCACCGCCAAGACCCACGGCGTCCAGTGGAAGAGGCCCACGGTGAGGCTAATTAACGGGAGGGGTGCTAATTAGTCACGCTCCCCCCCACAATGCCAACCTCCCTGGAACTGCTGCTCGGCGGCGCCGCAAACCCCCTCCCGCTGCAGCAGCTCCCAGGGGAAAAATCACACAGATCCCAATTTGGGTGGGGGGTTTTTTTGGGGAGGGTTGGTGGGTTTTGGTGGGTTTTGATGAGTTTTAGTGGATTTGACTGGGTTTTGCGGCATTTGGGGTGGGTTTGGGGAGATTTTGCTGGATTAGGATGGATATCAGTGGGTTTTGGTGGAGTTGCAGCGGGTTTTTGGTTGACGTTGGTAGATTTGGGTGGATTTTGGTGCGTTCTGGGTGGGTTTTGCTGGGTTTCAGTGGGGTTGGGTGGATTTTGGTGGATTTGGATGGATACTGGTGGGTTTCGGTGGTTTTGGAGTGGGGTTGGGTGGATTTTGGTGGATTTAGATGGATGTTGGTGCATTTCGGTGAGTTTCAGTGGATTTTGCTGGGTTTCGATGGATTTTGGTGGATTTCAGTAGGTTTCAGTGGATTTGTGGTGGATTTCAGTGGTTTTCGGTGCATTTGAGTGGGTTTTGGTGGATTTGGATGGATTTTGGTGAATTCATAGAGAATAGAATACAATTCAGTTGGGTTTGGGTGGATTTGGTTGGGTTTCGGTGGATTTCAGGATGTTTCAGTGGATTTGGGGTGGATTCAAGTGGGTTTTGGCAGATTTTGGTGAGTTTTGGCTGATTTTGGTGAGTTTTGGTGGGTTTCAGTGGATTCAAGTGGGTTTTGGGTGGATTTTGGTGGGTTTTGGTGGGTTTCAGTGGATTTGGGTGGGTTTTGGTTGGATTTTGGTGGGTTTTGGTGGGTTTCAGTGTATTTGGGTGGGTTTTGGTTGGATTTTGGGGGGGTTTAGTGGATTTGACTGGGTTTTGCGGGATTTGGGGTGGGTTTGGGGAGATTTTGCTGGATTGGGATGGATATGGGTGGGTTTCGGTGGGGTTGGAGCGGGTTTTTGGTTGATGTTGGTGGATTTGGATGGGTTTTGCTGCATTTTCGTAACTTTCGGTGCATTCTGGGTGGGTTTTGTTGGGTTTCGGTGGGTTTTGGGTGGATTTTGGTGGATTTGGATGGATTCTGGTGGGTTTCGGTGGAATTGGGGTGGGGTTGGGTCAATTTTGGTGGATTTGGATGGATTTTGGTGCATTTCAGTGAGTTTCAGTGGATTTTGGATGCATTTTCCTGGGTTTTGGTGGGTTTTGCTGGATTTGGGGTGGATTTTGCTGGATTTGCTTGGATTTTGGTGGATTTCAGTAGGTTTCAGTGGATTTGGGGTGGGTTTCGCTGGATTTGTGTGGGGTTTGGTGCATTTGGATGGATTTTGGTGGATTCATAGAGAACAGAATTCGGTTGGGTTTTGGTGGATTTCAGGATGTTTCAGTGGATTTGGGGTGGATTCAAGTGGGTTTTGGCAGATTTTGGTGAGTTTTGGCAGATTTTGGTGAGTTTTGGTGGGTTTCAGTGGATTTGGATGGGTTTTGGGTGGGTTTTGGTGGGTTTCAGTGTATTTGGGTGGGTTTTGGTTGGATTTTGGTGGGGTTTGGTGGGTTTCAGTGGATTTGGATGGGTTTTGGGTGGGTTTGGGTGGGTTTCAGTGTATTTGGGTGGGTTTTGGTTGGATTTTGGTGGGGTTTGGTGGGTTTCAGTGGATTTGGATGGGTTTTGGGTGGATTTGGGTGGGTTTCAGTGTATTTGGGTGGGTTTTGGTTGGATTTTGGTGGGGTTTGGTGGGTTTCAGTGGATTTGGATGGGTTTTGGGTGGATTTGGGTGGGTTTCAGTGTATTTGGGTGGGTTTTGGTTGGATTTTGGTGGGGTTTGGTGGGTTTCAGTGGATTTGGATGGGTTTTGGGTGGATTTGGGTGGGTTTCAGTGTATTTGGGTGGGTTTTGGTTGGATTTTGGTGGGGTTTGGTGGGTTTCAGTGGATTTGGATGGGTTTTGGGTGGATTTGGGTGGGTTTCAGTGTATTTGGGTGGGTTTTGGTTGGATTTTGGTGGGGTTTGGTGGGTTTCAGTGGATTTGGATGAGTTTTGGGTGGATTTGGGTAGGTTTCAGTGTATTTGGGTGGGTTTTGGTTGGATTTTGGTGGGTTTGGGTGGGTGTCAGTGGATTTGGATGGGTTTTGGGTGGATTTTGGTGGGTTTCAGTGTATTTGGGTGGGTTTTGGTTGGATTTTGCTGGGATTTTGGTTGGATTTCAGTGTATTTGGGTGGATTTGGGTGGGTTTGGGTGAATTTTGCCCGATTTGGGTGTATTTTGGTGACAGAATTGGGGGTGTTTCCCCGCAGGAGCTGTGTCGGAACCCGCAGTTCATCGTGGACGGGGCCACGCGCACCGACATCTGCCAGGGAGCGCTGGGTAGGGACCGGGGCCGCGCCTCCCTTTTCCCAATTTTCCCAATTTTCCCTTTTTTTACCTTAAATCCGAGCTCCTCGGGGGTGGGTTGTGCCCAGTCGTGGCTCGTTTCCCGGTGACACCTTCGTACCTCGTGGCAGAACCGGCCGTGGTGTCCCCCTAAACGCTGTCAGAGTGGAAAAAATATATATAGGTGGTGAGTGAGCGGAAAATGGCCTTTTTTACCCCAAAACTGAGGCGTGGTGGTGCCCCGCAGGTGACTGCTGGCTGCTGGCGGCCATCGCCTCCCTCACGCTCAACGAGAGCCTCCTCCACCGCGTGGTGCCGCACGGGCAGAGCTTCCAGCACGGCTACGCCGGCATCTTCCACTTCCAGGTCAGGCACCACACACTCACACTCACACTCACACACACTCACACTCACACTCACACTTTTGGGGGGCTCCTCCTCCATTTCGGGGCTCCCCTCCACCATTTTGAGAGGGTCCCTCCACATTTTGGGGCTCCTTTCCACCATTTTGTGGGTCCTCTTCCTCCTCCTCCTCCTCTTCCTCTTCCTCCTCCTCTTCCTATTCTTTCCTTCTCTTCCTCCTCTTCTTCCTCCTCCTCCTCCTTCTCTTTCTCTTCCTCCACCTCCTCTTCCTCCTCCTCTTCTGTCTCCTCTTCCTCCTCCACCTCATCTTCCTCCTCCTTTTCCTTCCCTTCCTCCTCTTCCTTCTCCTCTTCTTCTTCCTCCTCCTTTTCCTTCCTCCTCCACCTCCTCTTCCTCCTCCACCTCCTCTTCCTCCTCCTCTTCCTTCCCCTCCTCCTCTTCCTTCTCCTTCTTTTCTTCTTCCTCCTCCTCCTCCTTCTCTTTCTCTTCCTCCACCTCCTCTTCCTCCTCCTCTTCTGTCTCCTCTTCCTCCTCCACCTCCTTTTCCTCTTTCCTCCTCTTCCTCCTCCACCTCTTCCGTCTCCTCTTCCTCCTCCACCTCCTCCTCCTCCTCTTCCTTCTCCTTCTCTTCTTTTCCTTCCTCTTCCTCCTCCTCCTCCTTCTCCTCTTCCTCCTTCTTCTCCTCTTCCTCTTCCTCTTCCTTCTCCTTCTCTTCTTCCTCCTCCTCTTTCCTCCTCTTCCTCCTTCTATTTCGCCTCCTCTTCTTTCCTCCTTTTCCTCCTCCCCCTCCTCTTCCTCCTCTTTCTCCTTCTCTTCTTCTTCTTCCTCCTCCTCCTCTTTCCTCCTCCTCCTCTTCCTGTTCCTCCTCCTCCTCTTCCATCTCCTCTTCTTTCCCCTCCTCTTCGTTCTCCTTCTCTTCTTCTTCCTCCTCTTCCTCTTTTCTCCTCTTCCTCCTCCTTCTCCTCTTCCTCTTCCTTCTCTTTCCTCCTCTTCCTCCTCCTCCTCTTTCCTCCTCTTCCTCCTTCTATTTCGCCTCCTCTTCTTTCCTCCTTTTCCTCCTCCCCCTCCTCTTCCTCCTCTTTCTCCTTCTCTTCTTCTTCTTCCTCCTCTTCCTCCTCCTCCTCCTCCTATTTCTCCTCCTCTTCTTTCCTCCTTTTCCTCTTCTTCCTTCCCCTCTTCCTTCTTGTCCTCCTCTTCCTCCTCCTCCTCTTTCCTCCTATTTCTCCACCTCCCCCTCCTCCTCCTCTTCCTTCTCTTCCTCCTCTTCCTCCTCCTCCTCTTCCTGTTCCTCCTCCTCCTCTTCCATCTCCTCTTCTTTCCCCTCCTCTTCGTTCTCCTTCTCTTCTTCTTCCTCCTCTTCCTCTTTTCTCCTCTTCCTCCTCCTTCTCCTCTTCCTCTTCCTTCTCTTTCCTCCTCTTCCTCCTCCTCCTCCTCCTATTTCTCCTCCTCTTCTTTCCTCCTTTTCCTCTTCTTCCTTCCCCTCTTCCTTCTTGTCCTCCTCTTCCTCCTCCTCCTCTTTCCTCCTATTTCTCCACCTCCCCCTCCTCCTCCTCTTCCTTCTCTTCCTCCTCTTCCTCCTCCTCCTCAGATCTGGCAGTTCGGGGAGTGGCTGGACGTGGTGGTGGACGACTACCTGCCCACCAAAGACGGCAAACTCCTCTTCGTCCACTCGGCCGAGGGCAGCGAGTTCTGGAGCGCCCTCCTGGAGAAAGCCTACGCCAAGTACGTCCTCATCCCCATCCCTCCTTCCTTCCTCCTCTTCGTTTCATTTTTTTGGGGCCAAACAGCCCCAAAACGGGTGCGTGGCGCTTCCGCAGGGTGAACGGGTGCTACGAGGCGCTCTCGGGGGGCAGCACCTCGGAGGGCTTCGAGGATTTCACCGGCGGCGTCACCGAGTGGTACGACCTGCGCAAGCCCCCGCCCGATCTCTACCAAATCATCCTCAAGGCGCTGGAGCGCGGCTCCCTCCTCGGCTGCTCCATCGACGTGAGCAAAACCACCAATTTTTTCTTTTTTTGGGGGTTAAAAAATGAACATTTTGGGGGCTGCTGTGGCGGAGAAGGTCGTTACAGGCGGCCACCCCCACCTCGTTTCCTCACAGATAACGAGCGCCTTCGACATGGAGGCGGTGACCTTCAAGAAGCTGGTGAAGGGACACGCCTACTCGGTGACGGGGGCCAAGCAGGTGAGGGGATGGCACCATTTTTTGGGGTAAAAACAGGCGGTTTTGGGGTCCTCAAGCCCTGATGGTGCCTTTGGCAGATCAACTACCGCGGGCAATCCCTGGGCCTGATCCGAATGCGCAACCCCTGGGGGGAAGTGGAGTGGACGGGACCCTGGAGTGACAGGTGAGGGGCTGCCACGGCAGAGGTGGGGGGGCTTCGTTAGCGTTAATTAACGAAGCAGGGGGTGAGAGCCGTTTGCCGCCCGCAGCTCGGCCGAGTGGAACGCGGTGGAGCCGGCGCTGAGGCAGCAGCTGGTGGTGAAGATGGAGGACGGGGAATTTTGGTAAGTCAGGAAAGAAGATACCGGGGGGAAAAGAAGAGAAACTTCCTTTCCTGAATTTTCCCCTTTTTTTGGTTTTTTGGGTTTTTTGTGCTTCCAGGATGTCCTTCCGGGATTTCCTCCGGGAATTCACCCGCCTGGAGATCTGCAACCTCACCCCGGACGCTCTCCAATCCCGAAAATTCCGCAAGTGGAACACACAACTCTACGACGGGACGTGGCGGCGCGGCAGCACGGCCGGCGGCTGCCGTAACTACCCCGGTGGGCACCACCCAGGGGGCTTCCACCCTCCAAAAAAACCAAAAACCTGGTGGTTTCGACACAGATTTGAACCTATTCTTGCTTCTTTTTGTTGTTTTTTTTTTCCAGCCACTTTCTGGATCAACCCCCAGTTCAAGATCCAGCTGGAGGAGGTGGATGACGACGGGGATGAATTCGGCGGGAGGGAGCCCGGCTGTAGCTTCCTGCTGGCGTTGATGCAGAAGGACCGGCGCCGCGAGCGCCGCTACGGCAAGGACATGGAGACCATCGGGTTCGCTGTCTACGAGGTACCGGCGTCACCCAACGTCACCCGGTGTCACCCAACATCACCCGGTGTCACCCAACGTCACCCGGTGTCACCCAATGTCACCCAGTGTCACCCGGTGTCACCCAACATCACTTGGTGTCAGCTAACATCACTTGGTGTCACCCAGTGTCACCCAACATCACTTGGTGTCACCCAATGTCACTTGGTGCCACCCAACGTCACCCGGTGTCACCCAATGTCACCCAGTGTCACCTGGTGTCACCCAACATCACCTGGTGTCACCCAATGTCACCCGGTGTCACCTGGTGTCACCCAACGTCACCTGGTGTCACCCAACATCACTTGGTGTCACCCAATGTCACCCGGTGTCACCTGGTGTCACCCAACATCACCTGGTGTCACCCAACATCACCCATTGTCACCTGGTGTCCCCCAACATCACCCGGTGTCACCCAACGTCACCTGGTGTCACCCAACATCACTTGGTGTCACCTGGTGTCACCCAACGTCACCTGGTGTCACCCAGTGTCACCTGGTGTCACCCAATTGGTGTCACCCAACATCACTTGGTGTCACCCAATGTCACCCAGTGTCACCTGGTGTCACCCAACATCACCCGGTGTCACCCAACATCACTTGGTGTCACCCAATGTCACCCAACATCACCTGGTGTCATCCAACATCACCTGGTGTCACCCAACATCACCCGGTGTCACCCAACATCACTTGGTGTCACCCAACGTCACCCGGTGTCACCTGGTGTCACCCAACATCACTTGATGTCACCCAATGTCACCCAACATCACCCACCATGGTGAGACCTTTCCTCTCTTCTCCTCCAGGTTCCTCCCGAGGTGGGTACGACGCGTCGGCGGTGCCGTAAGCAAGGAAAGGCTGTTGGGCGAGTGGTTTTTTTGGGGGTTTTTTGGGTTTTTTTGGGGTGTTTTGAACCCCGTTTTCCGGCAGCACGTGGGGAAGTCGGGCGTCCACCTGAAGAGGGATTTCTTCCTGGCCAACGCCTCGCGCGCCCGCTCCGAGCAGTTCATCAACCTGCGGGAGGTGAGCACCCGCTTCCGCCTCCCGCCCGGCGAGTACATCGTGGTGCCCTCCACCTTCGAGCCCAACAAGGAAGGGGACTTCGTTCTCCGCGTCTTCTCCGAGAAAAAAGCCGGCACCGAGTAAGTGCCGCTCCCTTCGTTAGGCGCTAACGAACCCCGGCGACTTCCCCCCGAGGTGAAAACTCTCCTTTTCTTTTTCTTTCTTTCTTTTCTTTCCCCTCCGCAGGGAAATGGATGACAAGATCCAAGCCACGCTCCCGGATGAGGTGAGGGGGACGGGCGATGCTGGAGGGTGCCCAGACTTCACCTTTTGACCAAAATTGGTTGTTTTTTTCCCCCTCAGAAAGTGCTCTCCGAAAGCCAAATCGATGAGAACTTCAAGCAGCTCTTCAAGCAGCTGGCGGGGGCGGTGAGTGTGTGTGTGAGTGTGTGAGTGTGTGTGTGAGACTATGTGTGTGTGACTCCTTTTCTTTTTCTTTCTTTCTTTTCTTTCCCCTCCGCAGGGAAATGGATGACAAGATCCAAGCCACGCTCCCGGATGAGGTGAGGGGGACGGGCGATGCTGGAGGGTGCCCAGACTTCACCTTTTGACCAAAATTGGTTGTTTTTTTCCCCCTCAGAAAGTGCTCTCCGAAAGCCAAATCGATGAGAACTTCAAGCAGCTCTTCAAGCAGCTGGCGGGGGCGGTGAGTGTGTGTGTGAGTGTGTGAGTGTGTGTGTGAGACTATGTGTGTGTGACTCTGTGTGTGTGTGTGAGTGTGTGTGTTGTGTGAGAGTGTGTCTGTGTGTGTGTGTGTGTTGTGTGTGTTTGTGTGTGTCTGTGTGAGAGAGTGTGAGTGTGTGTGTGAGTGTGTGTGTTGTGTGTGTTTGTGAGTGTGTGTGTGTGTGTTGTGTGTGTTTGTGTGTGTCTGTGTGAGAGAGTGTGAGTGTGTGTGTGAGTGTGTGTGTTGTGTGTGTTTGTGTGTGTCTGTGTGAGAGAGTGTGAGTGTGTGTGTGAGTGTGTGTGTTGTGTGTGTTTGTGTGTGTCTGTGTGAGAGAGTGTGAGTGTGTGTGTGAGTGTGTGTGTTGTGTGTGTTTGTGTGTGTCTGTGTGAGAGAGTGTGAGTGTGTGTGTGAGTGTGTGTGTTGTGTGTGTTTGTGTGTGTCTGTGTGAGAGAGTGTGAGTGTGTGTGTGAGTGTGTGTGTTGTGTGTGTTTGTGTGTGTCTGTGTGAGAGAGTGTGAGTGTGTGTGTGAGTGTGTGTGTTGTGTGTGTTTGTGTGTGTCTGTGTGAGAGAGTGTGAGTGTGTGTGTGAGTGTGTGTGTTGTGTGTGTTTGTGTGTGTCAGTGTGAGTGTGTGTGAGTGTAAGACTGTGTGAGTGTGTGTGTGTGTGTGAGAGTGTGTGTGTGTGTGTTTGTGATAGTGTGTGTATGTGGGGGGGTGTGTGTGTGTGAGAGACTGTGTTGTGTGTGTGTGAGTGTGTGTGTGTGTGTGTTGTGTGTGTTTGTGTGTGTCTGTGAGAGAGTGTGAGTGTGTGTGTGTGACTGTGTGTGTGTGAGAGTGTGTGTGTGTGTTTGTGATAGTGTGTGTATGTGGGGGTGTGTGTGTGTGAGAGACTGTGTTGTGTGTGTGTGAGTGTGTGTGTTGTGTGAGAGTGTGTGTGTGTGTGTGAGAGACTGTGTTGTGTGTGTGTGTGTGAGTGTGTGTGTTGTGTGAGAATGTGTCTGTGTGTGAGTGTGTGTGTGTGAGTGTGTGTGTGTGAGTGTGTTGTGTGTGAGTGTTTGAGTGTGTGTGTGTGAGAGTGTGTGTGTGAGTGTCTGTGTGTCTCTGTGTGTGTGAGTGTGTGTGTTTGAGTGTGTGTGAGTGTGTGTGTTGTGTGAGAGTGTGTGTAAGAGTGTGTGTGAGAGTGTATGTGTGTGAGTGTGTGTGTTGTGTGTCAGTGTGTGTGTCAGTGTGAGTGTGTGTGAGTGTGAGACTGTGTGAGTGTGTGTGTGTGTGTGACTGTGTGTGTGAGAGTGTGTGTGTGTGTGTGTGATAGTGTGTGTATGTGGGGGGTGTGTGTGTGTGTGAGAGACTGTGTTGTGTGTGTGTGAGTGTGTGTGTGAGTGTGTGTGTGAGTGTGTGTGTGAGTGTGTGTGTGAGTGTGTGTGTGAGTGTGTGTGTGAGTGTGTGTGTGAGTGTGTGTGTGAGTGTGTGTGTGAGTGTGTGTGTGAGTGTGTGTGTGAGTGTGTGTGTGAGTGTGTGTGTGAGTGTGTGTGTGAGTGTGTGTGTGAGTGTGTGTGTGAGTGTGTGTGTGAGTGTGTGTGTGAGTGTGTGTGTGAGTGTGTGTGTGAGTGTGTGTGTGAGTGTGTGTGTGAGTGTGTGTGTGAGTGTGTGTGTGAGTGTGTGTGTGAGTGTGTGTGTGAGTGTGTGTGTGAGTGTGTGTGTGAGTGTGTGTGTGAGTGTGTGTGTGAGTGTGTGTGTGAGTGTGTGTGTGAGTGTGTGTGTGAGTGTGTGTGTGAGTGTGTGTGTGAGTGTGTGTGTGAGTGTGTGTGTGAGTGTGAGACTGTGTGTGTGTGTGTGTGTGTGTCTGTGTGTGTGAGAGTGTGTGTGTGTGTGTGTGATAGTGTGTGTATGTGGGGGGGGTGTGTGTGTGTGAGAGACTGTGTTGTGTGTGTGTGAGTGTGTGAGTGTGTGAGCGTGTGTGAGATTGTGTGAGTGTGTGTGTGAGTGTGAGAGTGTGAGTGTTAGTGTGTGTGTGAGTGTGAGTGTTAGTGTGTGTGTGAGTCTGATAGTGTGTGTGTGTGAGTGTGTGTGTGTGTGAGTGTGTGTGTGTGTGAGTGTGTGTGTGACAGTGTCACCGACTGACCCCACCCCCCTCTCCTCCCCCAGGACATGGAGATCAGCGTCACGGAGCTCCAGA